CGAGGTGGGCCGCCAATCATCGCCAGGGTCAACTTCGCCGCGGGGTTGGGGCTGCCGGGCGGCAGCGCGTAGTCCACGGCCTCGGTCGCGAAGAAGTGAAAAGGGTTGAAGGTGTCGAAGAGGAAGTCGCCGAAGTACTCCTCCAGGTAGGTCTGGACGATCCGGCGGTCCATGCTGTCGGTGACCCGGCCGCCATAAATGGCCTCCCCGACCAGGTAGCGAAGGGTCACCCAGGGGATGGGGTCGTCGTTGGCGTGGGCTTTCGTGAGGTAGGTGTCCAAAAGCCGCATCGAGACCGTGAAATCGGTCTCGTTGAAGTCGTAGGAGACGTTCCAGCCGATCTTGCCATACTTCCGCCGCTCCTGCACCACAGCGTGGAAGAAGGCGAGGGTGAAGACAAGAGGGCGGAAAGCCCAGTGCGGGCAGACATCCAAATGCTCCTCGCTGACCTTTGACAGCGTGTTCTTCATATTCATCTTGAGCCCATTCGGCGGCTCGTTCACCACCTTGAGCGAGCGCTGCAAAATCCCCATCGGGAAGTCCGGGGAGGGCTCGGTGGTGAGCCACAGCCTGAACTGCTCGTGAACTTGCTGTTGGTCCATCTTCTCCGTCACCGTTTCGAGGGATTTCATCCAATCCGTGAGGAGATGGCAGTTTTGGAGGATCACCCAATGCCCGCGAACGGCACCGACCTCGACAAGCTTCATCGCCTCCTCGCCCTGGCCTTGACCGAGGGAGACGGAGCGGAGCTTGTCGAGCCCGACCTCCTTCGCCGCGAGCTCCAAAATCTCCCCCATCGGGTTCGCCCCGGGCGAAACCACACACACAATCGGCGATCCGCACGAGCTCTTATCCAGGACGTCTTTATAGCGCAAAATCGGCGGAACGACAAAGTCGGGGCCGAGCAAATCGCAGTTCGAGATGAAGTTCGACACCGCGTTGTAGACGCGATCGCTGCGGAAGCAGCGCAGAAGGCACATCATCTGGAGCTCCGTCACCCGTTCGGAGTACCCGCACGGCAGCAAATTCTCCCCATCCTCAGGGCGATCAATCAAAACCCACTCTTTCCATTCATTGACGTTATACTTGACATCCTCCGGCAGCTTCGAGAAGGTCTCGCAGATCGACGAAAGCTTGCAGAGATCATGCCATTGACGCTCCGTTAGCCAATCCACCGGGTTCGGCGGAAAATCCTTAGAGGGGAGGATGCAGCCACGGAGAAAAAATTCGAGCTCGGACATCGACATCCGCCCTTCCTGGGTTAGCAAGCGAATTGCAATCTGGAAGGAAAGCATGAGCTTATCCCTCTCAAAGATACCTAGACAGACGTAATTGTAAAGATTGTAGGTGAGGGCTCGGATAATGTTCTGCAGACGGTCCTTGATCTCGAAGGCGGGGTCGCTTTTGGTGATCGAATAGCCAAACACATCGTGCAAGAAGGCGGAGAGGGAATATTCGTACATCGGATTAATCAAGGAGAGCTGACTAATCACAAAATACAAAAGCGCACCGCGTTGGGCGGCAGGTCGGTACTGCTGCCGAGAAAGCTCTGTGATTTGCGCGGTTTCCTTTGCCTGCTCGAGCTTCTGCCCCACCTCCAATGCGCTGCTCTTGGTGTTCTCCAAGGTCGCGATTAGATCATCATTATCCAGAATATTCCCGGTCGCCAGCGTGAGCTCGCGAATCAGCGTATCCTCAAGCTCCTTGAGCTGCGAGCGGCTCTCCGCCATCGTCTGGACGAGCTCCTCGCTTTGCCGCTGCAAATCACTCCGCTCGCTCGCCACGACGTAGTTCAGCAGCTGCGATTCCAACCCCCCTTCCGTCACACCGTAATTAATCACCATCGTCTTGCCAAAAACCTCCGCGGGGTAATTGGGATTCGGCAGCTTCGTGCACAAGTAGAGCTTAAAATTGCTATCCCACGGGATATCCTTATCACCGATGCGAATCAAACGCTGCCCCGATTCGTAAGTGAACTTGGGATCGAGAACGGAATCGATGATCGGGTCGATAAACTCGTCAATCCCTTCGAACAGGAAAGGGTTACCGTACTGGATGGCAAATTCAAGCCGCTTCAGGAAGTCCGAGTCGCTAAAGGAGGCGGTCTCGAACCTCGGATTGCTTTTATGCTGCCGCACAATCCACTTCAGCGCCTGCATCTGCGGATCAATACAGAGCGGAAAGCGAATTTTACCAGCGCGCTTTCCTTTTCCCGTGTAATCCGTGCTCAAGGTGGTCAAAATACCATTTTGGATTGATAGCTCATCCGACGGTAGGCCATCGCTCGCCCACTGCGAGATGGCCACCTCATCCGTGAGAAGATGGTTGATGTCAAAAGACTCCGTGAGGGGGATTTTGCGTTCTTGAATATCCTTTAACCACAGGTCCTCCAGCGCCTCCTGGCGGTACTGGAATGTGAAGGCACCCAAATAGGATAAAAAGGCCGCCCCGGCGAGGCAATCGCCGAGAAGACAGAGGCGAGCGGATCCGAGCATCACCTTCTCCTCCGTCCAGCGCGTTCGCTCGGAGCCGAAGCCGTCAATCAGCTTCCTCGCCGCGCTCAGCCGACGCTCCATAATCGCCTTTTCTTGCTGTAGACGCCGCGCCTCGCACATCCCCGCCTCGAGCCGGAGCTCCAGCTTTCGTAGATTCTCCGTCAGGTCGTCGATCTCGTTTCGGCATTGGTTTAGCTGCTTTTCCGCGTTTTCCTTCGCTTTCTGCAGTTGTCGAACGCGCTCCTGCTTGGGAAAGACCTCCTTCGCCACGTTCCAGTACTGCTTCATCGCCTCCACCCAAATCATCAGCCCGGAGGCCGCCAGACTGACCTTTTTGAGGTCGTTCGAATTGACCGGGAACTCCTTGAGGATTTTATTCACCTCGTTGATTTTTCCCTGGTTGAGCGTCGTCGTCAGGGCATCGACGTCGACCAGGGAGCGAATAAAGTCGCTCTGCCCCATCATAATCTTCCCCGCCTCCCAGGTCGACGCGACGCCTTTCACGACGCAGACCATGCGGACGACCGCCACCACGTTCACCGGCGGCTTCGCGAACGAGCGAAGTTCGGTAATACTCTTCGGGTTAATATGCTTCACGGCCTCCATCGCCTCCTCGAGGGCGGGCATGGCCTGCTCCAGGACGATCTGGGCCTCCCCCGTCTCCGTCTCGATCTCCTCGTTCTGGACGTTGAGCTGCTCCTCCATCGCAAGAGCCTCGGCCTTTCGGGCCTCGTTTCGCAGCTTCTGGTCCGTGATCTCGCGGGTCATGCGGTCGTTGATGCTCTGCTTCTCCTGCAGCGTCACCTCCTTGATGGCGAGCTCCTTTTGCAGGACCTCGACGTCGTCCTGGGCACGCTGGAGCCGCTCCAGGCCGATGGTGAACTTCCCCACAATGTCGTCCATGCTCTCCCGCTTGGTGCAGAGCAGCTTCGCGTAGTTCGCGAGGAAGCCCATGAAATTCTTCGGCGTCACGTAGTTATAGCGCTTGAGCTCGTTTTGGTAGCGCGTGGAGAGGTCGTCGGCGGTGGTGTGGACGTAGACCATGTGGTCCACGATCGCATCCAACGTCTCCGCCGGCAGGCTCTCCGGCAGGAGAAGTTTCCGGCCCACGGCGTGAAAGGCCTGCGCGGGCCACTTCTCGAACCAATCGATCGTCGTGAAGTTGATGAGACTGGGGAAATTCCGGCAGCGCGTGCGAAGGGTGTCGCCCGAGGGGCTCATGGAAAGGACGATGTGCAGGTTATCCCGACAGTCCCGGACAAAGGTCGTCCATTTGTTGTCTTTGGAGAGATCCAGGCCCTGCTGGATGAGCTCCTCGGTGACGCTTTGGTACAGCGGCTCCTTCTCCTCCTCCGTGAAAAGCGCAGGCACCATGCCCGAGGCGAGCATGTTGTTTATCAGCTCAAGAAATCCTTCCTCCTTGACGTGGCTGTCCATGAAGAGAAAGACCATCTTCTTTCGATACAAGCCAACGGAAAGGTATAATTCTTTGAGATCCTCCCGGAAGGAGTCCTCGTTGTAGCTTCGCGTGAGGGAAATCTCAAACACACCGAGCTGACAGATGGCGGCACCGAGGCGCGTGAGCGATTGCTTCCCACTCCCCCCAACACCGATTAAAAGACAATTGCCTTGGGGGAGCGATAGCACCCGCGTAATTCGCAGGAGATGCTCAAGGGCCATATCAAACATCACGAGATCGATTTTAACGACCGGGGTGTTGATCTCTTCGATTAT